ATGCATGCAAGGCAAGCGCTCTACCGCTTAGCCACCTTCCCAGCCCTCTTTTTTTTTTTTCTTTTTGTTGGTCATGGGGCTTGAACTCTGGGCCTGGGCGCTGTCTCTCAGCTCTTCAGCTCGAGGTGAGCGCTCTCAAATGGTAGAGCCACAGTGCCACTTCCAGTTTTCTGGTGGTTTATTGGAGATAAAAGAATCTCATGGACCTCCATGCCTGGGCTGGCTTTGAACCACAATTCTTAGATCTCAGTCTCCTAAGTAGCTAGGATTACAGGCATGAGCCACTGGTGCCCAGCGGGTTGTACTTTTCAATGTTGCCCCCTGACATCTTTCTAAATTCTTATATATTTGTTGTGATTAGGCCTCCCTATGTGGCTCAGGCTGGCCTTCAATTCTTGTCCTCCTCCTGAGCTTCCAAGAACTGGAATCACAGGTGTGGTCTTCACACCTTGCTTGTCCTATGTTCTTGTGTGTGTGTGTTGAGTGAGTGTGTGTGTGTGCATGCTGGGGCTTGAACTCAGGGCCTAGGTGGTATCCCTGAGCTATTTTGCTCAAGGCTAGCAGCCTACCACTTGAGCCACAGCTCCACTTTGGCTTTTTGGTAGTTAGATGGAGATAAGAGTCTCACATGCTTTCCTGCCCAGACTGGCTTGGAACTATGATCCTCAGATTTCAGCCTTCTGAGTAGCTCGGATGACAGGCATGAGCCACCAGTGTTCCATTCCCACTCTCAGGAAGGGGGTGTGCATTTTTCTTAGAGTTGTCCCTTGCCTGTACAGCTTTCACCCACCCAGAAGACTGTCTCCCCAGCCTGTGTCCTGCTAAAAGCCTGAAGCAAATGGATCACAATATCTTTGTCCAGTTCCCTCAGGATGGATGCTTGGGTTGCTGCCATTTTGTTCTGGTGGTTTTTGATGGTGCTGAGGTTTGAATTCATGTCCTCACACAGGCTACTTTGCAGGTAGATCTTCAGCTTTGGCTCAGGGTTTGCCTTGGACCATGATCTTCCTGCCTCTTCCCTCTGAGTAGCTGGGATTACAGGCATGCACTACCAGACTGGGCTTGGTTTCTGATCTTTTCCTGCTGTGGCCACAGGGCCAGTGAACCACCTCATTGTGTTTTATTTGTGCATGTAAGAGCTTTGTGGTGGCCTGAATTCCTGGAGGTGGAGGTGGAAGGTCAAAGGCTATTCAGCTTGGCTTGGCAGTAGCTGCTATAGCTGCTTGCCACCCTTCCCCCCCCCCCCCGCCCTTTGCAGATCTGATAGGAGAGGGTTTTCTTGATCTGAATTTGGAATTTCCTGCTCTCTGGTGGAAGGGAGCTTTGTGTGACAGGTGTTAGACCCCATAATATCTTCTTAGCATGGCCATCTCTTCATACCCTTTCTGGCTTTTCTGTCAAGAGTACTGCTTGCATGTATCTGGTTTCTTGTCATGTCAAGGAAAGTCACCCTCTGAGAAGTTCCTGGAAAAGGGTTTTTCTAAGCTGGCTTTTGGCTTTGCTCATTCGTGATGGTTTTTACTGTGGAATTTTTTTTTACGTTGGCCTAGTCAAACCAAGCTACCCTTTCTTTTGTGGTTTCAGCACTTATAGAGTACTCATACCAGAAAAGGAGTTCGTTTGTTTTTTTTTTTCTTTTGATCGATGGGCTTGAACTCAGGGCCTGGGCGCTGTCCCTGAGATTTTTTTCACTCAAGGCTAGCACTCTACCACTTTGAGCCACAGTACCCCTTTCTTTTTTCTGGTGGTTAACTGGAGATAAGAGTCTCACAGACTTTCCTGCCCAGGCTGGCTTCAAACCATGATCCTCAGATCTCAGCCTCCTGAGTAGCTAGGATTACAGGCGTGACTGCTGGCATCCAGCTTGGAGGGTGTGTGCGTGTGCGTGTGTGTGTGTGCGTGTGTGTGTGTGTGTGTGTGTGTGTGCATGCGCGCACGCACGCGCACGCGCATGTGCCAGTCCTGGGGCTTGAATTCAGAGCCTGGGCACTATCCCTGAGCTTCTTTTGCTCAAGGCTAACACTACCACTGTACCACTTCTGAGCTTTGTTTTGTTTTGTTTTTCTGTGTATGTGGTACTGAGGAATTGAACCCAGGGCTTCATGTGTGCTAGGCCAGCACTCTATCACCAAGCCACACTCCCAGGCCTGTTTTTTTTTTTAAATTAAGATATTATTTACATACCACACTGTGCACCCTGCCTCGTGGACAGGCCTGTAGTTTAGGGGTGGCCTCGGAGAAGCCCTCAGCACACTCTTAACATCAGAGTGCTTTTCTCCCCGCTACAGCACTCCTAAGCAACAGAGATTAGATTCCTGTGTCCACACTTGCTGGTTCTGAGCGTTTCCTGTGGATGGAGCCCCACAGCACAAAGCCCCTTCTGTTTGGCACATTGCCCTGGGTGCCACACGTTTGTAGCCACCCCTGTTTGTGCCCATGCTGAGTACAGGATTACAGGCATGAGCCACGGGCACCCTGTTCTGTGAGACTCTTATCTCCAGTTAACTACCAGAAAAATGGAAGTGGCCCGTGGCTCAAAGTGGTAGAGCGCTCTCCTTGAGCGAAAAAATACTCAGGAACAGCGCCCAGGCTCTGAATTCAAGCCCTGTGACTAACAACAACCACAACAAAAATGACAGCACGTGTTGGGCAGAGCTCCATGCCTTGGAGGCTCCCTTGTGAGACTCTTTTTCCTTTTTCCTTCCCTCTCTCCCTTCCTCCCTTGCTCCCTCTCCTTCCTTCCTTCCCTCCCTTCATCCGTCTCCCTCCTTTCTGCTTTCTGTCTTCCTCTCCCTCCCTCCTGCCTTACTTTTGCCCAGGTTGGCTTCACACTCTTGAGTCTTCCCCTCCAAGTGCTGGGATTATAGGCAGTGTCACCATGCTTGGCTCAGGACTTTAGTGTGTTTCTGTCATGCGAGTCCCTTCCTGCTCACTTGGGGCCAGTGTTGCTGAGATCCTGCGGGGGGGGGGGGGGCTGGCTCATCCAGCTCCTGCCCTGTCCCTAGATTGGGGCTCCCAGCACTCTGACCCTGTCCCCCTTCTCCGCAGTTCATGGCCTCCCATGGGAATGAAGCTGCCAAAGCTACGTTCGAGTCCAAAGTGCCACCCTTCTACTACCGGCCCACACTGTCCGACTGCCCGTGAGTGGAGGGGCTGTCAGGGGTGTGGGGGAGGGGGCAGGGCGGGGGAGGGGACAGGACTTGGGGACAGGCAGTCATGCTGGTCCCCGGGAAGGAAGGCCCATGCCCCCTCCACCGTGGCATTTCTTGGACTGGTTCCCTGCAGCTGGATAGCCAGAGAGCAGACAGAACTCCAGGGACACGGTGTGCGGATGTGCGGGGCAGGGCCTTTCTTTGGGGGGGGTGTCTCAGGTGGCCCTTGGGTCCCCCCAGAGGCTCCCAGTGGCCAAGAAAAGCTGCTAGACCTGGATGGGAAGGTTCCAGATACAGAAGGGACAAAGCTGTCTAGGGTCCTGCATGCTGACCTGCCCTCTGAGCCTCAGTTTCCCATCTGCTCAGCCATGGGCTCAGTGAGGTCTAACTCAAGGGCCTGGAACAGCACCGAAGTTTCCCTTTCTTAGAAATGGGGTGAAACCCAGCCCTTCTTCTTGCTCAACCCCCATACTCCAGGGCTGACCCTAGCCCCTGCCCTCAGTCCCCACACACCTAGACCCTACCCAGCCTCTTACTTATTCAGCATTTCTTTGGGGTGACTCATTTTGTGAACCAAACTCCCCTGGACCCCACCCAGGAGCCCTCTGGAACCAGAGACGAGGTCACTGGCATGGCCCACCCGGGCCCCATCCAAGCTGGGGGGTGTGGGGTCCCCAGGATGTGGATGCTGGCTGGGGCGGGGGGGGGGCGGGGGTTTGACAGAGAGGAGGAGAGGAAGGGGGAAGTGGGTGGGGAGGGGGAGGATGAGGGGAAGGAAGGGGGAGAAGAATGAAGAGGGGGGAGGGGAGGGAGGAGGAGGAGGAAGAGGGAAGAGGAAGAGGAGAGGGAGAAGAAAGAGAAGGGAGGAGGGAAAGGAGAAAGAAGAGGGGGAGCGGGAGAGGAGGTGGAGGGGAGGGGAAGAGGCTGAGAGCAGGAGGGGGCGGTGCGGAGCCCATTGGGGGCCTGTGGCAGGGAGGGTGACGTGTGTGCTGGCCGCGGGTGACAGGGTTTCTGCTGTGCTGTGCGTGTGAACTTGTCACCCCCTGGCTGGCATACAGTGCCAGGCTCCCGGCACCAGGCAGGAGGTTTGGGGCCTCCCTGGAGCCTGGCTGAGACCAGAAGCTGCGCGCTGTCGCTGTCTGCCCCGCGCGCCTCTGAGGCGCGGCCCCGCCCTCGCGGCTCTCGCTATGAGTCAGGGCTCAGCACAGTTATTTTGAGGCTTACTTGGTCCCTGGCCAGCCCAGGCTCTGTGGTTGGGCCATTTTGCATGAGAACTGAGAGTGTTTCCCCACCTGAGCGGCCTGGCCACCGCGGAGGGACTGGTCCCCTGGCACTGACACCCTGTGTGTGTCTGTGGGGGGGGGAGGGCAAGGGAGCCCCCCACCCCCACCCCAAGCAGCTATCCAATGATGGGTGTGCAGTGTTGGGGGATGCGTGGGAGTCAGCGCTGCGGGGTGCTGGGGGCCAGTGAACATTGCCCTTTGGGCCCCAGCACCATGGCCTGGGGGACAGTGTCCAGGAAAGGACAATATGTCGGGGTCTGCATGGACCCGAACAGGACAACATGGGGCAAGTGGGGCGCTGTGACCCTGGGGCGGGCCCCGGTCAGTGATGTCCTCTTCTGGTTAGGTGCTGTGCCCTGAAGATGCCCAGAGGCCCTGGGGGCGGCTGAGGCATGGGGAGCCAGGCCAGATCTCCACCTCAAAAAAACCCAACAGCCGGCACCAGTGGCTCACACCTGTAATCCTAGCTACTCAGGAGGCTGAGATCTGAGGATCACAGTTCAATGCCAGCCCGGGCAGGAAAGTACATGAGACTCCTTTTTTTTTTTTTTTTAATCAGTCGTAGGGCTTGAACTCTGGGCCTGCATACTGTTCCTCAGCTCTTAAGCTCAAGGCTAGAGCTCTACTTGAGCCACAGTACCACTTCTGACTTTTTCTGTGTATGTGGTGCTGAGGGAATTGAACCCAGGACCTCATGCATAGGAGGCAAGCACTCTACCACTGAGCCACCTTCCCAGCCCCTCCATGAGACTCTTATCTCCAATTAACCACCAGAAAACCAGACATGGTGCTGTGGCTCAAATAGTAGAAACCTAGCTTTGAGCTAAAGAGCTGAGGGACAGTGCCCAGGCCCAGAGTTCAAGCCCTACAACCGACAAAAACAAAACACACCAAAAAAACACCAACAAGTTGGAGCCAGTGGTTCCTGCCTGTCATCCTAGCTACTCAGGAGGCTGAGAGCTGAGGATGGCAGTTCAAAAGCAGCCTGGGCAATTCACCACCCCAAAGCCAGAAGTGGAGCTATGGCTCAAGTGGTAGAGCTCTAGCCTTGAGGATGAAGCTTAGAGTCAGTGCCTAGGTCCTGAGTTCAAGCCTAGGACTGGCACAGAAACAGAAACAGCTTGGCAGGCTGGAGGAAGTGGGCAGGAGTGAGGACTTGGCCAGCCATGCTCCTGGGAGGGCTGCAACATGGGCTCAGCCCACAGGGGATGGGTGCCGGTCCAGACAGGGGTGCGGTGTGCAGTGTCCCCAGTGCTGAGAGCCGCTGTAGGTGGGCTGGGCAGCCCAGCCATGAGGAAGTCCCAAGTGGGTGTGCAGGTAGCCACAGGCTAGAGGTGGGGGGGGGAGGTGGGGGCGACCAATGGGGCTTGGTGCCCACCCATCCACCTGGCTGGAGGCCCTGAGAGACCAGGGGACTGGGGAGGGGGGTGCAGCAGGGTACGCTGACCGAGTGGAGGCCAAGGTGGGGAGATCAAATGCCCACCTGCTGGCCGGGAGCTGGGCAGCCCCTTGTGCTGAGTGCTGAGTGTCTGTGCCCCCAGAGGCAGGGGCTGCATGAGGGAGCACCCTCCTGAGTCTCCCCCTCTCCCCCAGACTCCTCCGGGAGCAGTGGATCCGCGCCAAGTATGAGAGACAGGAGTTCATCCAGCCCGAGAAGCAGGAGCCGTACTCTGCAGGTGAGCCGCCCGCCCGCCGCCCGCCGGGCTCCGGCCCTCACTAACTCTCTGCTTCATCCATGTTTTTTTTTTCTGAGTTTCTTGGTGGCGTTTGGGGTCTGTGGAGCCCCCGGGCTGAGGCCTTCGGGGGGCCTGTGAGGTCCTGCACCCACACAGGAGAGAGGACTCCGGGCTGCGCCAACACCCCCCCCTTCCCCCGGCCCCGGCCAGCTGAGTGCTGTCAACTCCCTGTGCGTGCTGAAGCTTTGCGGATCGCCAGGGTCCCAGAGAGTCACCCCAGCCCCAGCCCTCCTCCACTCCTCTGTTCATATCTGTGTCTCCTTTAAAATCCGGGTAGGGCTGGGAGTGCTGCTCAATAGTAGAGCACCTTCCCTAGCAAGCCTTGGGTTCGAACCCCAGTGTTTCCCAAGAACAAAATCGGGGTGCCCTGTGTGGGACTGGGGCTAAGGCGGGCTGGGATTTCTCCTGTCCACGTGTCCTGTGTGTGGTGGCTTTGGATCTAGGGGCCAGGGGGATCCTTGCTCTCTGCAGGAGACCTCCCAAAGCAGGACCCCTGGGACCTTTGCTGGGTCTCTGGGCTCTGAGCCCCCATAGCCACTGTCCCCATGGGCATCCTGCCCCTTGGAGCTCAGGCCTGGGCCAGCGCAGATGCTGGGGACCGTCCGGGAGCCTCTGGCTTCCTCAGCCTTGCACAGGGTCTAGCCTTAGACTCCTTCCTCAGCAACCTGTGATGACTGCGCCGTGCCCCGCCCTGCAGGGGAAAGGGGAGCCCCCCACCCCTGGCCCTGTGTTGGGGCCTCTGGCACGGTCCACTGCCAGCCAAGCCCTGGGTCCCCCTCGCGTGAAGGACAGGAAACTGCCAAGCCACTCAGCAGCTCTGCTCCCCAGTGTCCCAGCAAGAGGATGGAGACAGGGCACCGAGCCCACGGAGGTCCCTGGAAGACCTGCCCACGGCCACCAGGAGCCTGGCACTGCCACTCACCACGATGGGGCACTTGGACCCAGCACCCAAAGCCATGTGCAACAGGATTCTGTGTGTAGAAAAGCCCACCGTGAGCAGCTCCAGGGGCCAGCAGAAGAGCAGCTGGGAGAGGGGGTATCTGCTCTCAGTGGCAGGGCTCCCTTTAGGAGTGATGGAATGTTCTGGAACACATGATATGAATGGGTGAAACATCAAGCGCCTCACCCTTCCAAACTGTATTTCCAAACTGAGTGAGGTAGCCCATGCCTGTAAGCCCGGCACTGAGTAGGGCTGATAGCACTGAGTAGAGCAGAGGCAGGGGAATCCCAGGCTTGAAGCCATTCTGGGGTACACAGCAAGACCTTGTCTCAAAACCCTGAAAAGCCAAAAATGGAAGAATTGCGACTCCTGAGGACATGGCCCCGCCTGCTGGAGAGAAGACACAGGGCGGGCCGAGGCAGACAGAGCCCATGGAGAGAAGACACAGGGCGGGCCGAGGCAGACAGAGCCCATGAGGACCCCACCTGCTTACGCCCCTCCCAGGGGAGGTGGCCCCTGGTCACCCAGGACAGTCCACACATGCCCCTGGGAGCAGGAGCAGCCCCACCCAGAGGCCAAGCTCTGATTTGGAGATGGACTCCCTCCTCCGACCCTGCCCCCCTCCTCACCTAGGGACCTTGATGGGTTTGAGGGGAGGAAGGAACGAGCCATGGGAGAGAGAGCCCACTGAGCCCGCTGGAGGGAGGGAGCCTGCAGGTGTGCTGGGACTCTGTGTATGTCCCAAGTCACAAGCAGGGCTCCTGGTGTGGACACCACGAAGCCAAGCAGCCCCTCGGAATCTTGTGGTGGTCACTGTGCAGCTGAAATTCCAGCACTTGGCAAGCAGAGGCAAGAGGATTACAAGTTGTTTGTTGTTGTTGTTGTTGTTGTTGGTTGTGGGGCTTGACCTCCAGGCCTGGGCGCTGTCCCTCAGCTCTTCAGCTCAAGGGAGCGCTTTACCACTTGAGCCACAGCGCCACTTCTGGTTTTCTGGTGGTTTATTGGAGATAAGAGTTGCATGGACTTTTCTGCCCAGGCTGGGTTTGAACTGTGATCCTCAGATCTCATTGTCCTTAGTAGCTAGGCTTAGGGCGCTCAGCTAGGATTGCAAGTTTGAGGCCAGCTGGACTATATAGCTAAGAAAGAAAGAAGGAAAGAAGGAAAGAAAGAAAGAAAGAAGGAAGGAAGGGCAGACACAGTAGCCCTCACCTCTAATCCTAATTACTCAGGAGGCTGAGATCTAGAGCCTTATCATTGGAGGCCATCCAGGTCAGAAAAGTCTGTGAGACTCTTTTTCAAAACAGCCACCAAAACAAGTGAGGCTGGAGTGGCTCACATGGCAGAGTGCCAGCCAACCAAGCCAAGTTGAGCAAGTGAGCATGAGGATCTGAGTTCAAAACCTGGTCTGGGGGTGGGGTGGGGGAGCAAACGTAAGGGGTTAGGTGTGGATTGTGTGCTCCTGGAATGTGAGGTCCTGGGTCCACCGGGGACATGATGGCGTCAGAGGAGGGCACAGGACCTGTGCTGCTTCAGCAGGGCTGGCACCGGCCAGCTTGCAGCCCAGCTCAGCACACAGCCACCCGCCACTGCGGAGGCAGGAGGGCCTCACATCCAGCCAGGGGTTCGAGGCCAGGCCTGGGTGTCCCCTCCTGCCTTTCTCCACCTGCCCTGGCCATCAGTGGGGTCCTGGGCCTCCAGCCTCCTGCCTCCTGCAGCCCCCTCCTACCCAGCACCTCAAGGCTAAGTGGGGCCTGGTGGGCGGGTGTCAGGGAGACCACAGGGCGCCCCCGGGGGCCTGGTCCCTGAGATGCCCGCTCTGCTGCCAGTCCTCCCAGGCAGCGCGACAACTCACACCCTTCCCCCCACGCGCAGAGGACAGACAGACAGACAGACAAATGCCCAGGGGATTCCTGGAACTTCCCGCCACCTTCCACACCACTTTCTCACAAGCGTGGCACGCCCCACCCCCTCCTGTCCCTGCGAAGTCAGAAATGCAGAAGTCCTGGGTGGAGAAAGGGGAAATCCGGGGCTTGGGAAAGACCCCGCCGCCTGCAGAGAAGGAGGTGAGGCTTGGGCTATGCAGCACCATGCCTCAGGCCTGCCCGCGCTGAGTCCGGAACTGCAGGTCCCCTCCCGGGGCTGCGGGACAAGGCCACAGGGTGGCCACGCCTGCCACGCAGGGCCGGGTGCACAGCCCTTCGCCATGGCTGGCACGCCTGGACCCGGTCACTGCTCAGAGCTTCATCTGTCCCAGCTATGGTGGTGGCCTAGTACAGACATGGGCACCAGGCCCCAGGGGTTCCTGACAGCCTGGCAGGAAAACGTAAGGGGGCAAGTTTGGTGAGGCTGTAACCAGAGTGAAGCGAAGCTCCACGTGTCCATGCTAGTGCATGGTGTGGCTGTGCACACCTGTAATCCCAGCTGGTCAGGAGTGGGAGGGGGACGTCTTTGAATGTGAAGCCAGCCCATCTCGGTGTAACATAATGGCAGATCCCTTGCCCAGCATGTGTGTGGCCCTGGGTGCCAGCCGCAGTGCCGTCAAAACCAAAACACCTGAGCGAGTCAGGATGGGGAGACATCCTGTGGGGGGGGGTAGAGGCCCAGGCTCGGGGCTGGCATCCACCACACTGGGTTTGCACTAGGGTCAGTTTCTGGGGGACCGGCACAGCCAGGGGTGGGGGAAAGCCCGTGGCTGAGGATCAGGCAGGAGCTGGGAGTCCTGATTGGGAGTTCCCACCACAGTGCTACCCTGCCCTCTGCCAGACGCTGCTGGGAACTGGGAACGGGACCCACACCCAGGCCGGCGGCCCCTCCAGCACCTTCCTGGCCCAGACTTCTGGGGGGTTGAGGAAGCGGCCTCTGGAGGCAGGCAGATCTCTGGGAGACTTGGACCTCACTGTGGGCCTAAGGATCCAGACGCCTGCACCTCTCGTCCTGGGTACCACGTGAGTCCCTAAGGGGCAGCGAGCAGCCCTGCCGCATCTTGATGTCCTGGGACAGGAATGGAGCATGTGGGGACCCTGCCCATCTCCCGCCCCGCCATAGGGCTCACCCCTGCCCATGTCACAGGTTGGCAGGAAGTGCCTGAGCCCCCTCCCCCAGACTTGGGGATATGGGGTACCGTGGGTGCATCCTTGCACCTGCTTTCCCCCGTGACCTTGCTGTGGGGTTGACCTTGTAACCCCAGCCCGACTCCGCCCCCAGGCCCAGCCCGCCCCCAGTCAGTGCTCAATAGCTGCCTTTCATGGGGGTCCAGACAATGGTCGCTGTTGTCCGGGGACCCAAGGCTTGGCACCAGGGTCCCTCCAGAGAGGGCCCTGTCCCCGCCTTTCCTCCCAGGGACAGGGCCCTCTTGGGGTGCCTGGTTGTGCCAGGCAGGGGCATCCAGGGGCTGCTGCCTCTCCTGACCTTTGTCCTGGATGCCACGGGGCAGTGTGGGAGGGGCGGGGCTGGGCTCCTGAGTGGCCAAGCCCTGTCCCCTCCTTAGTTTTCCTACCAATGGGGAGGGGTCAACATGGGGTCCAGCACTGGAGAGAATCACGATTGGTGCAGAGCTCTAGGAGTTTGTGGGGCTTTGGAGGTGGGTGGTACTGAGTGGGAGTGGCCTGGGAAGGGTAGGGTTTATGGGGAGTGGATGGAGCTTGGTGGGAAGTGGGTGGGGCTTTGCGGGAACAGGACCCCAGCCTCACTTTCAGGCTGTGTGAGAGGAGAGGTGGGAGCTGTTCCCACGGTGGCCTGGGAATGGGCAGGAAGGAGGGCTGGAGGGAGAAGGCCCCCTCTGAGGAGGGTCTCCCTGACTTAACTTTGCTTCTCTCCCTGCTGGCTTCTCTATTGCTGTGAGACCCAGCAGGCAGGCAGGCGGCAGGGCCCCTGGGCCCCTGCTCACACGGGAGCTGGTCCTGAGCCTGGTGACCACCCCGCAGGGACTGGCAGACAGAGCCTGGGTGGCCTAGGCAGTGGGCAGAGGCAGCAGAGCCCTGGGCAGGTCCAGCGTGGCTGGTCCTCCCAGGCTGCCACTAGCGATCACTTAGGAGGGGCAGGAACAGCACCCCTCCATGGGTCAACACCCCAGGGAGAGGCGAGGGGCAGGTGGGGCCCACCTTTTACTCTGAAGGGCTTACAGTGACCCTGAGCGCAGAACTCCCAACTCACCCACACCAGGCCAAGCCTCCTCCTCAGAGGCGGCCGCAGAGTTACCTGCCCTGATTTAAAAAAAAAAACCCTACAATTTATGTACATGCTGCATAATTTGCATAAACTTTGCATGTCCTATTTTGAGTACAGAGCTATGACAAATGTAGAAACACATCACTTGAAGATTCTGCTGTGTGCACTGGGAATCTGACTTCTCTCTGTCAGCTTGCCTGGGAGACTTGCGGCCTATGCCGGACCCCCAGCCATCTGCAGAGGGCAGAGTGGTCTTCCTGGCAAAGGGTGACATGATTTGTTACCTGCCCTTCAGCGGAGGGTGATGGAATTGTTTGCAGTCTGTGGTTATGATGATATGGCCAGAAGCCTTCATGTGCACCTCTCATGAGCGTGGGGTCCCTTCTACAGCCCCATGCCTCTCTGGTCACAGAGAGTATGAGTTTAACGTGGTAAGAAACCAACAGTAAGATTGACACTGGTGGCTCACGCCTGTAATCCTAACTACTTAGGGGGCTGAGATCTGAGGATCAAGGTTCAGAGTCAGCCGGGGTGGGAATGTGCATGAACCTCTTACCTTCAGTTAAGGAGCAAAAGTGGCGCTGTGGCTCAAGTAGTAGAGCTCCAGCCTTGCACAAAGCCAAAAACAAAAACAAACAAAACGTAAGTGTCAACTTAAGGCTCTTGAGTTGAATCCCCAGTACACTCTCTCTGTCTTTGTCTATCTCGGTCTTCTTATCTGTCTCCATCTCTTTTGGTCTCTGTGTGGTCTCGCACACAGAGAAAGAAATCCCCAGCCTGCAACAGCCAGATGAGCTGTGCATGCTTGTAATCCCAACCTTTAGGAGGCAAAGGCAGGAGAATCACATGTTCAAGTCCAGCCCAGGCAAGAGCACCTGAGCCCCTGGCTGAAAAGCAAATGAAAAGGTCTGGGGTTTGGCGCAAGTGATGGAGTGCCTGTCCTGAGTTCAAACCCCAGTATCACCAAAAACAACCTGAAATATCCACCAACGTGTGTTGCAGAGCGACCGCTGTGTCCCTGCTCAGGTGGGGACCGGCGCTTCTGTTTAGCTTGCTGTGATTCCAGGCCAGCCTCGGTCCTGAAGGACACAGAGTGCTCCCAGAGCATAGTCTTCATTTTCCTAAGGATTGTTTTTCAACCTCCGGAGGAGGAAGTCCCACCCCAGCTCCTCAGCCCGGGTTCCTGGGCCTTGCGAACCAGAGGTGTCTAATCAATGCAGAGTCCGGCGTGTGGGAATGGGTCCTGCAGCCTGCGGCCGCACAGGCCGTGCTGCTGGCTGTGGGTGACAGGTGGCCTCCCCCTTCCTATGTCACCACAGGGAAAATGGAGGCTTTCAGAGAGGTGCCCGCCCTGGCTAGGAATCCTGTCCCCATCCCAAAATATCGCTTGTCATGTGCCTCAAATTAGGCTTCGTGGCGTCTTGCTGCCTGAGAATCCAGACAGGGCACTGACACCTTTCTGTGCCCTGTGCCCTGTGCCCAGGACTTGTATCTGGCTGGGAGCACCCAGAGCCACCCACCCGGGCAGAGTCCTGACACCGACTGGGTGCAGGGAGGCAGCCACGCCCAAGCAGCCTGGCTCTTGGGTCTCTGCTGCCACCTGCTGGACACAGTTGGAACTGCAGGGTAGAAGCTGCTTTTCTGCCTCTGGGCACCTGCTGGTCCAGCCCTGCCCAGCTCAGCCTCCCAGGCCCCGGCCCTGTTTTTCAGGATATGTTTTTTTCTTTTTTCTTTCTTTCTTTCTTTTTTTTTGTTGTTGTTGGTTGTTCTTGGGGCTTGAACTCAGGGCCTGAGCACTGTCCATGAGCTCTTTAGTTCAAAGCTGGCGCTCTGGTACTTTGAGCCACAGTACCACTTCTGGTTTTCTGGTGGTTAATTGGAGATGAGTCTCCTGGCCTTTCCTGCCTGGGCTGGCTTCAAACCGCGATCCTCAGATCTCAGCCTCCTGAGTAGCTAGGATTACAGGCGTGAGCCATTGCCACCCATCTGTGGTTTTCTTTTGGTCTGGGCATAAATGAAGTCATGTCTGTAAGGCACTCCTGGGGCACTGTGATTGGAGGGAGGGTCATTGCCAGGCTGGGATATGGCTGCTCCCTAGCCCACTGCCCTGCCCCGGGCACTTGTAGATACTACACTCGTCTGTTCAAGTGCCCAGCCTGGAAAGCTGGGTGGTGATCCTGAAAGTGGGAACCAAATAGACTTGCCGGCCTCGATGCTTGATTAGCCAGTCAGCAAACATCCCAAGTGACTTTGCATGAGCTGAGAGCAGGGGACTTGTGTAGCCCCATTCCTGCCATGTTGGGGACACAGTACATCATCGGTGGGCTCTATTGAGGAGGGAATAGGCTGGCCCGGCAGGCCCAAGACAGGCTGACAGATAGGCCCCAGCGGTGCCAGCTGGCTGTTTTGTCTCTGGCCACCTGGGGTTGCCGAGCCTCTGAGGGGAGCTTGGGGTTCAGGCTGGGCAGCAGCATGTGAGATCTGAGCTGGCCCGACCTGTGGGTCCTGCGCCATGCTCCCCCAACAGCTGTGTTTCCAAATCCCCCCCCCCCCAGCTAGGACCCACCGTGTGATTCTATAAAGTCCAAAGACGGGCACCATAGTGCACACCTGTAACCCTAACTACTCAAGATGCTGAGCTGTAAGGGTCAAAAGCCAGCCTAGGTAGACTCTGAGCTCCAGTTAACCGGTAAAGAGTCGTAAGTGGAGCCGTGGTTCAAGTGGTAGTGTGCCAACATGAGTGAAAAAGCTCAGGGACAGCGGCCAGGCCTTGAGTTCAAGTTCCAGGGCTGGAACATATAAAAGAAGTCCAAACAGGCAGAAGGGTGGGGGATGGGCAGGGTCAAGGCTATAACAGGGGGTGGGGGGAGGGACACGGGGTTGCATTGGAGCTGCAGAGGCTCAGAATGCACATCGGCTGAGTTCTGGGGTCAGTGCACCACAGCAGCCCCCAGATGTGAGGCCAGGCGCAGGCGGGGCGGGCCCCGGGCTCCACGCTGCCCCGTCTGGGGGCTCAGGTGTTGCTCGGCCAGGCGCCGTGGGTCTTGTGTCTCCGCATGGTCCCCCCTCTCCTGTCCGTGGCCTGGGGTCCCCCGCTGCCCCTGTCATCACCCACCCCGAGGTCCCTCAGCTCCGCAGGGCCCCTGCGGCTGTGTGCACAGGGCCGTGCTGAGCCTTGGGCAGAGCGATGTGAGCCCTCTGACCCGTGGGTTCTGGCCAGGTGGCACTGCACACCTCTGCTCAGGGTGGCGGTCTCTGGGGATGGGACCCACTTCCATGCCCCCCCGTGGCGGGGCTCAGGTGACTGTGCTCTCCCCCCCCCCCCAGGGTACCGCGAGGGCTTTCTGTGGAAGCGTGGCCGGGACAACGGGCAGTTTTTAAGCCGGAAGTTTGTGCTGACAGAGCGAGAGGGGGCCCTGAAGTACTTCAACAAGAACGATGTAAGCACCCGGAGCGGGGGGGGGGGGCGCCTGAGCGGGGGGTGTGCTTCCCACGTGAGGGTCCCAGGCCTGGGTGTCCCGCCCCGCTGGCCCTGACTCAGGGCCGATGAAGACACCACCTGGTGGGCACACACTGGAGGGGCACCCCCGAGGACACCCCAGGGGGAACATGGCCGCCTCTGGCCTGTAATGGGACCTGGGAAGTGCTGGCACCTCCTGCCCTTCAGCCTGGCCACAGTTACTCTGGATTTTATCATTTTTGTTTTTTTTTTTAATGTCAGTACTTGGACTTAAAGTCAGGGCCTGGGTGCTGTTCCTGAGCTTTTTTGCTTAAGGCTGGCACTCTACCACATGAGCCACAGCTCTACTTCTGGTTTTCTGGTGTCTAATTGAAGATAAGAGTCCCAGGGACCTTCCTGCCCGGGCTGGCTTTGAACCTTAAACCTCAGATCTCAGCCGGGATGTGGAAGCTCAGAGAGGTTAGGTCACTTGTCCAAGGCTACACAGCACAGCAGGTGTGTGTGCCGCCAGCCTCCAGAGCCCTCAGGTGCAGACAGTGGCCCCCCAGCCCCGCATGCTGCTCACGTGGGACCTTGCTTCATAGGCCAAGGAACCAAAGGCCATCATGAAGATTGAGCACTTGAACGCCACCTTCCAGCCAGCCAAGATCGGCCACCCCCACGGCCTGCAGGTCACCTACCTGAAGGACAACAGCACACGGAACATATTCATTTACCATGAGGATGGGAAGGTAGCGGTGTGTGTCGGGGGGAGTGTGTGTGGAGGCCGGCCTGTACTCAGCCTGCAGCTGGGTGCCTGCCCCACACACCAAGTTGGTCCCACCCAGAGGTGCAGGGGTGGTGGTGGGCGCAGCTGGCCCCAGGTCCATAGCCCTGCCAGACGGAGCAGCGCCACTTCATTTTCTGGTGGTTCACTGGAGAGAAGTCTCAGGGCGTTTACTGCCCAGCTGGCTTTGAACCACAGATCTCAGCTTCTTGAGTGGCTGGGATTATAGGCATGAGCCACCAGTGCCTGGCTGAAGATCTGTCTTCTGCTTTTGGGTTTCTTCCTTCCCTTTCCCTTTCCCTTTTCCCTTTCCTTTCCTTTTTTTCCTTTCCTTTCCTCCCTCCCTCCCCCCCTCACTTTCTCTCTCTTTCTCCAATCCTGGGGCTTGAACTCAGGGCTTGCGCCCTGAGCCTCTCTGTGCTCAAGGCTAGTGCTCTACCACTTGAGCAACAGCGCCACTTCCGGCTTTTTCTATGTATGTGGTGCTGAGGAATGGAACCTAGGGCTTCATGCGTGCTAGGCATGCGCTCTACCACTAGGCCACCTTCCCAGCCTGCTCTTGGGCTTCTAATTTCGCAGAGGTCCTTCTTGGAGCATTCCAAGCAGGGAATCTGTTTCAAGATGTACAATATTGTGTGTGTGTGTGTGCGTGTGTGCGCACGCACACGCGTACATGCACCTGTTCACTGGAGGCAGGATTCAGGGCCTGCTGTGAGCATTCCACTGCCACACCACGCCTGGCCCACCCCCTGATCATTCATGCTCACCCCTGGCCCACCCCCGATCATTCATGCTCACCTCTGGCCCACCCCCTGCTCATTCATGCTCACCTCTGAGGCCTCTGTGCACTGGGAAGGTGCCCGTTCCTTCTGGCAGACTTGCTTTCATCCTGTGACCTCTCCAGCAGCCTGCCCAGTACAGACGCACCTGCCTCAGTGCTGCAGTGAGGGGCGGCACTCGGTGTGGCCTGGTGCACGCTGTGGCTCCTCTCTCCCTCCTGGAGAGGGCAGGCTTGCCACAGGGGCGGTGTGGCGCACCGTGCAGCTCGGCCCACCCCTCTGCCATGGCGTCTCCTGCCCACTTGTAGGTCCACTCATCAGCCCCAGTTCCCTGCACATCCCTCAGAGACCAGGTCCAGGGGCTCAGGACTGTCATCCTAGCCACTTGGGAGGTAGAGAGCAGAGGATCGCTGTTTGAGGCCAGCCAGGCAGAAAGGACTTTGTGAGACTCCATCTCCACCAGTGTGTGGGTGTGGTGGTGCATGCCTGTTGCCCCAGCTGAGGAGGGAGCACAGAGATTGTGTGTGGTGGGTCCTACCTGCCATCCCCAGCGGCTCTGGGAGACAGCAGCTCAGGCCGAGGCCCTACCTTGAAAATAGCTGCGGTGCCTGGCGAGCATCGAGCCCTGAGTTCAAACCCCAGTACTGACCCTACCCCCCCCAACCCTAAAACCCTCTGGTCACATTAGTGGGTCCTGGTTTACCCATGCCCTGAGAGGGGTGTCTGCAAGCTGGGGCTTGCTGCCAGTGAGGGGCAGAGCTGTCCCCACTCACCAAGGCTCTGCTCTGCGTTGGGGTCTTGTTGACATGGACCTGGGAAGAGCTAGGCCCTCCACTTTGATAAGAGTCAGGGAGGCAGAGCTAGAGCCTTGGGGGACGTGCAAAGATCCTGGGGCAAGTGGAATGTGTTTGGGAAGCAGAACAAGGCCAGGGAGTCAGGCAAGGAAGGGAGTCCTGTCGAGACACAGGGCGGTGGGGGAGGGTGCCAGGCCCCACGTGAGCAGTGGGCAGGACAGACCAGAGGGCTGGTGTGGTGGCTGGAGTCCGGGGGCGGGGGGGGGGGGAAATGCAGAGGCCGCAGAGCAGGGCAGGAGGCAGCCTGTAGTCAGGGGAGTGCCAGCACTGAGGCCCAGGCCCAAAGCAGAGGCGCTGGAGGGTCAGCACGCGCGGCGCCTGGAGGACAGATGGACAGTGTGGCGGGACGTGGGTAGAGGGGGCCGGGCTGGGCGAGGAGGTGGAGCCTGAGGATGGAGGCTGCTGGCGGGGGCTGAGGCGGGCAGGGTGGCACACAGGGCTGCTCAGACCCCCCACATGGAAAGGCTTTGTGGGGGCAGTGGCAAGCAGATGGGTGGGGAGCCCCTGGTCCTTAGAGAGCAGTAGTCATGGGGAGGCCTGTGCAGGACGCATGGGCTCCAGGCAGTGAGCTGGCTGAGGAGGCCTGGATGTCAAGCCCCCATAAATAGGAGCACGGGGATCCCCTAGCACGAGAGAAGCTGAGCCGGGCGCCGGTGGCTCGTGCCTGTCATCCTAGCTACTCAGGAGGCTGAGATCTGAGGACCAGGGTTCAAAGTCAGTCTCAGCAGAAAAGGCTGTAAGACTCAAGGTCAGTTAGCCACCAAAAAGTCAGAAGTGGTGCTGCGACTCAAGTGGTAGAGCGCCAGGCTTGAGTGAAAGAGCTCAAAGACAGCGCCCAGACCCCCAGTTCCAGCCCCAGGCCCTGCGTGTCACCCCCACCTGCCATCTCTGCCCTGGGTACCTGGCCACTTCTGGCCTCCACCCAGCAGCTGGTCCTGGGGGGCGGGGCAGGGACCGCCCAGGCTGCCCCTCCCGACTCTGCTCATCCAGCCTCGGTTTCCAGGAGATCGTGGATTGGTTCAACGCGCTGCGGGCCGCCCGCTTCCACTACTTACAGGTGGCCTTCCCAGGGGCCAGCGATGCTGATGTGAGTGGGGCCAGGTGGGGCCACGGGAGGAGGCTGCTGTGGTGGGCAGGGACTGACCAGAGTCATGTAGGGACCCGGAAAAGATTGCAGCTGGCGGGCCTGAGCCCGAGGTCTGGCAGGACTACAGCACCCCTACCATACCTGGGGGTGTGGGGCCCAACCTGAGGGTGGAGGGCTTTGAGGGCGGGGCCAGGTGGGCGGGGCCAGGTAGGTGGAGGGCCTTGAGGGCGGGGCCAGGCCCGACTCTGCTGTTCTGCCCAGCTGGTGCCCAAGCTGTCCCGGAACTACCTGAAGGAAGGCTACATGGAGAAAACAGGGCCCAAGGTGGGTGTGTGTGCACATGGACGTGTGTGTGCACATGGGCGAGCTTTCTGGCCTGCCCCAGCTTAGCTTCCTTTCTTGTAACCTGTTGCCCGGGGAGGGCTGGGGTGGGGTTGCTGACCTCAGGCTGGGGGCTCACCCCTTCCCAGGGCCCAGTGAGCCACTGGGCCTCATCTCATTCTGAATGGCCTGGGCCTGGCGCCCTTTGTGCCATCCTGAGCTCGGGGTCATCGGGGAGCCCCACCCCTGTAGTTCTTGCTGCCTGGGGCTGGGATGGGGGCCAGGCCCACTCCAAGTCCCTACCCTCATGGTGGCGCAGACGCAGCCTCTGCTAAAGCGCCTCTTGCCGTGGGCTGGTGGGCAGAGCAGGGCCCAGGGGGGCCAAGAAAGACATGATCAAGAGATGGTGAGGCCATGCCCTTGTGGGACTGAGCTGTGGCGATCTGGCCAGCGTCAGATGGTCACTGCCCCCCCACCCCCCTTGCCCCCGGCCTACAGCAAACGGAAGGCTTTCGGAAGCGCTGGTTCACCATGGATGACCGGAGGCTCATGTACTTCAAAGACCCCTTGGTAAGAGGGTCTGGCAGGCACCACCTTCCTTGGGGGCCACAGAGGCTTGGAAGCTTCTGGTCTCAGCCACTTCTAAGCAAAGACTGGCCTGGTCCTCTTCCCGCAGGGGTGGGTGGGCCGGGTGGCAGGGGAGGGGAGGGCACCCCTGCCCCGCTGCAGCACGCCTGTCCCGTAGGACGCCTTCGCCCGTGGGGAGGTCTTCATCGGCAGCAAGGAGAGCGGCTACACGGTGCTGGAGGGGCTCCCGCCATCCACGCAGGGCCACCACTGGCCACACGGCATCACCATCGTCACACCGGATCGCAAGTTCCTGTTCACCTGTGAGACTGAGTCAGACCAGAGGGAGTGGGTGGAGGCCTTCCAGAAGGTGGTGGACCGGCCCATGCTGCCCCAGGAGTATGCAGGTGAGCTTGGGAAGGGTCAGGCACCCACCCAGGCCAGGCCCTGTGCTGGCCACGCCCTGGGGGGACAGCCTCTTGGGGGAGGGTGGGCCTCACAGCCAGCTGGACCAGAACGGACACTCCTTCCTGTTTCTAGTGGAAGCCCACTTCAAGCATAAACCCTAGCACGAGACAGCTGAGGCCCGAGGACACCGGACTCACAGTGACGCAGCTGACAAGGCAGCTCTGGACCACAGGGCATAACAGCCTTCCTGCCTTCTGGCCTCCAGCCTCCAGCCTCGCTCCTCCAGGCAGTCTGGGCATGGCCAAGTGGAGTCGGGCCTCAGCCACTGGGACGTGATGCTCTGGAACCTTTCCCAGGCAGACCCAGCCCTTGGCCTGGCCTGACCCCACCCCCTCACGCTGCTGCTCATGCCCAGCCGCCCTGCACCCCTCCCTACCTGCTCCCACAGCTCAGGGGCAGCTCCCTGAACTCTCCAGGCCCCCAGTCCAGCCTGAAGGGACTCCTGGGCCTCAGGACAGGACCACGTGCTGGGCTGTGGGCGGCGGTGGCTGTGGGCCAGGGTCTCACCTTGGGGCCTGCCGCATGTCTCTAACACCCCCCCCCCTCCCCAATTATTTATTGAGCACCTACTGTATGTCGGACATGGGTCAGGGGCTGGAAAATAGACTCGGTCGTCTTCTGCCTAACCAGCCAGGACTGCTGGGACAGGTTCCAGAACAATGAATTCCCAGATCCTCATGGCCCCATGGTCCTCCGTGCTCCCAAAACACCTGAGGGAAGGCCTGGCCAGGGATCGCCAGGTGCCATCAGGCGCTGTGCAATGTGCACGGGGCCTAGGCTGCTCTGTTCTGGGAGGCTGGTGTGGCCACTTCCTCTGCTGTGGGCATCTGTGTGCCCAGCTTGGTGCTCAGCCCTTCCTGGTGCCCTCTGCCCTGGCCCTGTGGTCATTAAATCCTTTGGGGACAATGGCCAGAGCCCCCAAAGAGGACACCACAGGCGGGGGTGACCCTGCAGCCTCCCCCCCCCTTCCTCCCCCCCCCTCCCGCTTGCTGCTGGCAGGCCAGTAGTGAGAGCCACCTGTATTTATTTCTTACCTGACCTCCTTCCTGGGCCGGGCTTCCCTCTCATGGGACCCTGCAGGGCAGGTCCTGGCGGGCTGGACAGGGCAGGGGCGCACCGGTGGGCAGCCCAGGGGGGCCTGGGAGGAGGCTGAGGTTGGGGGTCCTGCTGCCCTGTGTCACGTCCTGGAATAAAGTGTGGCTCTGGAGCGGCCCGTCTGTGTGGTGGCGGCTGGGGTGGCAGCAGGAGGCAAAGTGGGGGGCTGGCCTCCTTCGGGGCAGAAGACACAGCAGCTACCCTGCCTCTCAGGGAAGCCCAGGACAGCCCCGTCTTTACCCAAAACACCCCCAGGCGCCAGCACGCTTTAGTACCCGTCACTGTAGGGCAGGGACCACAGCTGGGGGGTACCCCCCAGGGCGCCCCGCATCTTAACAGGTCCTGCACCTTCCACTCACACTACCAAGCCACTCCAGACCTCCTCCACCATCAGCCTCAGGGAGGCAGAGGCCCCCAACTCCACCCGTGTCCCCAAGGTGGGCGGACTGGTGATGACCTGGCTGGGGGCTGTCACGCCATTTGGTTCTCCTGGGCTGCCTCAGTCAGTCCTGAGATGAGAATCTTGAGCCTCTCTGCCTGTCCACAGCCTTCCAGGGCACATCTGGAGAATTCCTCTGGACACGAGACCACACTGCTTGTGTTCTGAGTACATGGTGTGATGTCCGTGTGTCCACACACACATGCATATATGCTGCTGCCTTGACTGCCTTAACACTTTAAAAGAATCCAGAGACACATGCTGGTGGCTCATACCTAGAAGCCTAGCTGCTTAGGAGGCTGAGATCTGAGGATCATTGTTTGAAGCCAGGCCTGCGGCAGCAAAGTCCATAAAATTAATCTCCAATTAACCACCAGAAACTGGAAGTGGTACTGTGGCTCAGTGGTAGAGCGCTACCTAGCCTTGAGCAAAAAAAAAAACAAACCCTCAGTGCTCAGGCCCAGAGTTCAAGCACCATAAGTGATCAAAAAAAAAAAATCCATGGAACAATTCCACAATTGGGAAGGATTTACACAAGGCAGAAAACTAAGGGGTTGGTGATACATGGCAGCCCTGGGCAGGGTGATGGTGCTGGCTGCCCCCTGGCGGCCACACCTGGCACTGCACAGAAGGGACGAGGGCCCCACAAGCACAGGCTGGGAATGCGTGGCAGGTGCTGTGGGGAGGGCGGGCACAGGCGGTACAGGCAGCCTGTGCTGGCATGTGGCTCGGTCACCTGCCTTTTCTGTGTCACCTAGTGCTAATCTTAACACCACATACTAACAAAACGTGCCCAAATATACTCCAACACATCAAAGTGTGATGTCTGAACAGGTATTCCCACAGCCTGGGCCCAGGACCCTGTGTGGGTCTCTTCCTGCAGCTGCCACCCAGTGGCTGAGCCTCGGGTACACAGACACATTCGTGTCTAATAAGCCCAACAAGGGGATCCTGACACCTCAACATCGGCTACTGGGTCCACCCAGGAAAACATGCAGGACTCGCCTCCTCTGGAGGTGCACAAGCCCCCAAGGCTCCATAGGATGGAGCAGGGCCAAGTGGCAGACCCCCTCCCCCCCAGGTACCCCGCCCCCCCAGCCTGAGACTGATTGAGAAAGGAGCCGTGCAGAGCCCGGTACAAAGGATTTATTCAGTCACCATCTGACAGCCTTCGTGAGTTGCGTTTACAGTAAAGCACGCACGCCCGCTGGACTCACCCACAACTCTCATTTTAATTGTGAAAAAATAAAGTGTTTCCCTTTATAGTTCTAGTACCATGGGATATTATCAGTGACAGAGGGCAGATCTGCTCATTCCTGGTTATTTGGTAAAATCCTAAAATAATAGGCCAAAGAAATCACCCAATAAAAATAAATACTGCATCATGAAGGACGGCGTCTCCAGTACCTTGAGAAGTGGGCTGCAGGGACAGGGCTGGGCGGGGCGTCGCCAGGGCGGCCTGTAGGGCCTGTGTGCATCGCAGTGTCGCATCACAGGACTGGCGGGCATCCGGCTGCTGCCACCACCCTGGGGAGCCCAAGGCCACAGGGCCCTCGTGCTCAGCAGAGATGGGAAAGAACCATGATTGTGAACAGACCATGGGTGAACAAGATACACAAAAAACCCACTGTGTGCGGAGCCAGGGACCCTGGCTTGCCTCCGCCAGTGGCCATGGCTCCTCTGGTGCACTAAGCCGCACTGGACACCAGTGAGTGGATGTCGGGCAAATGGGGTCCACCTTATCCAGTCCCTGGTGCCAGGCTGCCGTGTCACCCCGCAGCCCTCCCCAAGGAACCAGAGACAGGACGGCAGCGGGGTGTCGCAGCAAGCTCTGCGCTTTATTGTGGGTGATCTGAAAGGACGCGAGTGGCCCGCAGGAGCCCGGCCCTCACTCTCGGTCCTGGCCACATGGCGGCAGGCAGGCCACACAGCCCTCAGCCACCATACATAAATAGGGACAGGCTCCACACGGTGGCGCCCGCGCAATGCGGGCGGACAAAGGGCCTGCGTCTGGGCCTAGCACAGAAAACTGTCCCGGCGGTGCCGGCCGTGGGCGTCTCAACGCAGGCCCGGCAGCTCAGTCCAGCTCGATGGGGCTGCTGTCATCCTGGCTCTCCTCCCCTTCCTCCTGCTCCGAGGAGCCCATGAGGCTGCTGAGCAGGTTGCCTGTGAGGACAGAGGTCGTGTAGGATAGAGGTTAGCATGCAGCAGCTGGCAAGGGACCCCTACTCCCTGCCCCAGGGCCATGCCATGTCCTGGCTCTCCATCACAAGGATGCAGCTGGACCTGGCCAGGCTGTGGCACGGCTGGGAGAGGTGCAGCCACACAGGACTCCATGGAAGGGGCAGATGTCACATGACTATCCACATGGACATCAGATGCCACCTAGCAGGTGCACCATGACTCCTCATGTGACCGAGCTCAGAACCACCCCAGACGCACTATCTATCACACATGTGTGCGTGTGTGTCACCTGGCTCGTCCAGGACTGCTACAACGTACAGGCCAACTCTATGCCTAAAAGTCACGTGCAGCGGGTACAGCCAACGGCAGCCTATGGGAGCCCCTCTAACTCGGAAGCAGCCAGGCATGCCTGTCAGGGTCAAGGGGCTGCCTGTCCCTCCAGGAGACCCAGCAGTGGGGTGCTCTGCATGCCATGCATGAGAGCCACTATTCAAAATGAAATCGGGGTCTGGTGGGGGAGGGGGGAGAGGGAAGGAGGGAGAAAGAAAGAACATTTAAACCAAGTCAGGCTGGAAGAGTGGCTCAACTGGAAAAGGGCCTAGGAAGCACAAAGACCCAAGTTGCAACCTCAGCACTGTCCCGTCCCAAAAACCTGCAGGCTTCTGAGCCACTTCTACATGGAGGCTGAGCGGCCTTGCCCCAGTGGGGAACGCCTGGGCTCCCTACAGAGAGGAGGAAGAGGTGGGCAGGGGAGGGCGCAGGATGCACACGAGCTCACCGAGCAAGCCTCCGTAGGAGGACGTCTGCTTGGGCGGCACCCCGAAGAAGAGCTGTCCTATCCTGTCGAGGTACTGCAGGAGACAGAGCCTGGGTCAGAGGCTGCTCCCTACCCCGCTCCCCCCCACCCCGCCCCGCATCGTGCGGGCCAGGCCCAGGTCATGCCACAGCAGGGCCTTACCTCATTGTACATTGGGTCCCTACGGAGGGAGGGCTGGTACTGCTCGCACAGCACCGTGAACACGGTTAGCTTGCCGCTGCAATGATAGGCGGCCACGGTCTCAAGAGGGGACACAGTCCACCAACCCACCTCCCAACCCATGGGCGGATCGATGCAGGACTCACCCATCCACAGCCAGCAGCAGAAACCAGATGAAGTTGAGCAGGGGCTGGACGAAGGGCGGCCCGTCCTCGATGGATGGGTGCTTCTGTGTGTACGTAGTGAAGACCACCAACGCGCTGCTTTTGTTTTTCAAACAGAGAAACCTGTGGGTGAGAAATCCCCATGGGCGGAGGTGTGAGGGAGATGGGCTTCTGGAGTATCCCATGGCCAGGATAGCCCTGGGCCTCTGTGGGCCTGGGGTCACAGGGGACCACAGGGTCCCTGGGGACAGCTGGCAACATTGCAGCCCTCTGTGACTCATGGGTGGACAGTGACCCTCGGGAAGGAGGTGCTGGCCACATGGAAGAAGCTGTGAGCCTCTTTTTTCTCCACCTGTGTCTGCACATGTGCCTGAAGCCCCCCGTGCCTTGCTGGACATTGTGCTGGACACTGGGTAGCCGTGGCTTCTGCTGGGAGTTGCTGCCCAGCCCAGAGAGAAGAGTGCACACATGACCCAGACAGGCTGCAGAGCCTCGGGGGTTAAACAACTTCTCATCTTTAAAGTCAGAGGTTATGGGGCTGGGAAGGTGGCTTAGTGGTAGAGTGCTTGCCTAGCATGCATGAAGCCCTGGGTTCCATTCCTCAGTACCACATAAACACAAAAAGCCAGTGGTTCAAGTGATAAGAGCACTAGCCTTGAGCAAAAGAAGCTCAGGGACAGTGCCCAGGCTCTGAGTTCAAGCCCCAGGACTGGCAAAAAATATAAATAAAATCAGAGGTTAGAGCTGGGTGCCACAGGCTCATGCCTGTAATCCTACTCAGGGGGCTGAGACTGAAGCCAGCCCAGGCAGCAAAATCTGTGAAAGTTTTATCTCCATTAACCACCAAAATAATCAAAAGAGAAGGTGCGGCTCAAGTAGAAGAGCACTAGCCTTGAGTGGAAAAGCTGAGGGACAGTGCCCAGACCCTGAGCCCAAGCTCTAATACTGGCATACAAAATAAAACCTAGAGGCTAGCAACAAATCCCACTGTAAGTTCACAGTGGGGGTGCACTGGGGGTCCTGGTGGACACCCCTAAAAGGTGGCAAGGCTCATACTCCTGGCCCATGAGCCTGAGCTCCTGCCTGCGGCGTGGCAAGGTGTGGGCACCAGGAGCCCATGGCCTCCCGAGTACCTACTGTAGCACTGCCTGCGCCACGAACATGTCCACCTCACTGCGGAAGCCGCGGGCCGTGGAGTACTCCACCAGCATGTTGGCACAGCCCTCGCCGTCCGTAGAGTGCAGGAAGTGGAATCGAGACTCGCAGTAGTTCTGCTCTGCAGAGGCAAAGGGGGGGACTGCAGACAGCCTCTAGGAGCACCCCACTTCCAGCCCCCTGCCTGTCCCAACTGGGCCCCAGGGCTGAGCTATCAACTGCTCTGGCCAGGCCTGCCACCAAATCCTTGCACTCAATGGCCAAATGCCTGACAGCTGCGCAGACAAGTTCACCCAGACACAAAGGTGCCCTGCCTCTATGGTGCTTGTACGCGCCAGATACTCGCATGCAAACGTATGTGTGCAAACTGCATAATGTTCATAAGTGCTTGCAGTGTAGGAACCCCACCCCACCTTAACACAAACCCTCAACCGCCTCCCAGACAGTGCCCTGCATCTCAGGATAGCAGCAGAGACCAGCCTGAGCCCTCCTCCAGGACACTGGGTCATGGCAGGCCTGGTTACCTCCTCAGGTCCCCCCAGAGATCTCCCCACCCAATGCTTGCTGGCAGGGATCACAGGTAAGGTGCGGGCAGTGATGAGGCTGAATTGGTGAGGGGCCTGCACAGCCTCATGTCTCAGGGAAGCCAGGAGGATGCTGGGTAGCCAGAGGGGACAAGCAGCCTGTGCACTGTCAGCCTTCTGGTGAGGGCCATGAGCATCTACACAGCAGCCATGTCCTGGGGCTCAGCCTCCCCCATTCCCATGTGCCCAGGAGCCTGTGGCAGGTGGCACCCTGCTCCCAGCAGGAGAGGGGATGGGGGCCTCTAGGGGAGACAGCTCTGCGGACAGACCCTGCTAAGGGAGAATGGGGCTGCAGAGGGGGCAGCTACAGCAGCGACAGCAGGCGGAGCACAGGGAGGAAACAGGGCGCACGGTGTCCCCTCTCTGGAATGCCCTTTGAATCACTGAGAGCTGGCTGATCCCACCCACAGGGAGGCTTGCGGTGAAATCACAGTGCCAGACCTTGTCCCACAGCGCAGGTGCTACCCATGGCCGTCACTGTCACCGACAGCTGGCTGAGGGAAGGCTGAGGGGACCAGGTAGACTGCCTGTCAGAGCACAGAGTCTATTGCCTGAAGCCTTGCCACCATGCAGGCCCATGCCCATTCCTACCCACACCTTCCGATTCCTGGGGCTCACAGCGTGCCCCGTGATCCTTGACCCTGCACACCTCCTAGCATGGTCTCTCTTTAGGAAGCCCCCCCCCAGGGGCGCATGCCCACAGCAATGCCCACTGGGAGGAAAGTCAGCATCCTATCCCCACCAGGCCCAACCCAAACTCCTCAAGCACAGGGGGCAGAGCCCCAAACCCCAGGGCAGCGGATTGCTCCAGTCACGGTGGACTCAGATGTAAATTCAGATTCAGTGGGAGCCCAGGGTAGTCACAACCCAACCGTTCAGGCTCCACTAGTTCACGACCACTTAATGAGGAGAGAGAAACACGAGGGGCGGGGATGGGGCCACAGCGCTGGCAGAGGAGGTGCCTGAGGTGGCCAGGGGCCACTATGCCAGGGCTGGGGGCAGTTCAACAGTTCAGCAGAGGCCAGGCAGCCAGCAAGGCCAGGTGACTATGTCACCTGGAACCCCACGCCCCACGCCCCAGGCTTACCTTTCCATAGGGTCAGGGCCAGCAGCTGATGGAGCCGAGGGTGGCCCAGTTTCCCGGAACCCCCACTGGACCACTTCAGGGCTCTGGACACAAAGGCTGCTCGCTCTGGAGAATTGGGGTCCATCAAACTGAACACCCTCGCCAGACTTTCTGGAAATACCACAGACACAGCTCATCCAGGGAAGGCTCCCCGTGGCACCCACACCACGAACACGAGCCACTCAACCACATGTAACCGCTAAAGAAAAGCATGAAGCCACTTGGGTGTATCTGTGTCCCAGGGGCTCGGGGCTGTTCAGAGTCACCCTCTGGTTGGTCTCTCCACTGCCGATCCAGCGCTGTGCGCCCGAGTGTCCAGGAAACACTGACACTTTTCTGCCCTCACAGCCAGCCCTGGCATGGGAGTTTGGATGGGTAGCCAGGTGCCAGGCAGCAGGTCACCAGAGCCTCATCCAGCAGGTGGCTGGGCAGGGCTCTGCCCTGGGTACTCACCCTGTGGGCCAGGATGCCCAACAGGTGTCACCTCCGGTGCCAGTCCCACTGCATCCAGAGTCTAGCCACCCACTCTCCTAGCTCTGGAGCCCTGGCAGAGGCCCCACGTGCGGCACACACAGTGAGGACTCCTCACCCAGCAACTCGTCAGCTACATCCACTTCTGCCTTCTCCAGGGACTCCAACACCAGCATGGATAAGTCTGCTGCACTGTTTTGCTACAAAATGTGCAAATGAACTTGATTAGAAATGAAGTGGCAGGAGCAGAACAGAGAACACTGGCAGTGGCCCCGCAGTCAGCAGCCTAGGAGCGCCATGAAGAACGTCATCTCTGCACTGCACAGAGCAGCGCAGGGCCACTGACCACTCCGGACTTGGAGCAAATAAAACCAACATCACATATGCAGTATCCAGTCCCACAGCCAGTGCTGTAGGCCTGGCAGCCAAGGGCCCATGATGACACCTTGAGAACCAAGTCTCCACAGCCGATGCACAGGGACCCTCTGCCCCCTGCACTTCCACCCACCTCTCTTCAGCCATTCCCATTTCCTTTCCTGCCTGGAACAGTAAGGGAGCAGGCGGGAGGAGAGCCTTACCTGGCCGTGACTGAAGAAAAGCAGTGCTCCTGAGTACATGAGCTCCCGGGCCTCTGCATGCTTGCTCTGAGACATGTATCTGCAAAGAGAGGTTCGTGAGGCCAGGCCAACATGCCATGCCCTGGACTGCAGAGGGTGCTTGAGGGCAGGCTTTGTGTTGACCCTCAAGAACCGAGGCTAAGCTACCCCTAACAAACAGGAGTCATGGGGCCATCCATCTGACAAGGGCCAGTCTACATGATGTGGATGAGGGATGTAGGCTCCAGGGTGGAGACCCGGGATAAGGACAGCAATGAATGTGGCAGCACAGCACAAGGCTGCCCCTACAAAGCGTCCTCCAGGGCTGCATCCTCATTGCCTGGCCTCATGCAGACAGAAGACATAGTTGTCAGCGAGCTCTGTCGCCCAGCACAGCACCCTCAGACAGGCTATGGGTAAAGAAAACCAACCATGGGGCTGGGAATGTGGCTTAGTGGTAGAGTGCTTGCCTTGCATACATGAAACCCTGGGTTCAAATCCTCAATACCACATAAACACAAAAAGCCAGAAGTGGCACTGTGGCTCGAGAGTGCTAGCCTTGAGCAAAAGCAGCTCTGGGACAGTGCCCAGGCTCTGAGTTCAAGCCCCAGGACTGGCAAAAAAGAAAATCAACCATGGAAAACCATCCATGTAGATGACTTGGTGAGACGGAAGACACGCTGGCTCAGGCCTCCAGGCCCTGAAGCACCCACAGCACACTGGCCCTGAGTGCCTGCCACACAGCTGGGCAGTGGCAACAGCCTATCTCCAAGGAAGACACAGACAGCTGCAGGCTGTAGCGCCTCAGCACTACTTTTCTTCTTGGGACTTAGAACTCAGGGCCTAGGGTACTGTCACCTTTTTAACTCAAGTCTAACACTCTACCACTTGAGCCACAGCTCCATTCTCCCTCCCCCACTTTTTTTTTTGGCCAGTCTTGGGGCTTGCATTCAGGGCCTGGGTGCTGTCCCTACTTCTTCAGCTCTAAGCTAGCATTCTACTACTTGAGCCAGAGCGCCACTTCCAGCACTCTACCACTAAGCCACATTCCCAGCCATCCACTTCCAGCTTTTTGGTGGTTAATTGGAGAGAGAATCTAACAGATTTTTCTGACCAGGTTGGCTTTGAACTGCAATCCTCAGGTCTCAGCCTCCTAGGTGGCTAGTATTACAGGCATGAGCCACTAATGCCCAACTCTGTACTATTCTTTTCTCTTTCTCTCTCACGGTTAACTGGAGATGAGAGTCTCGTGGACTTTACTGCCCAGGCTGGCTTTGCACTGCAATCCTGACCTCAGCCTCCTGAGTAGTCAGGATCACAGGCATGCACTACCAGCGCCTGGCTCCCTGTACTCCTCTCGAGGGTGGTCTGCACTGGGGGCCACACAGGCTGATGCACTGGCAGCTGCTCTGCACTCGGGCCTGACCCTGCTGGGTATTCTGGAATGACACATAGCAAGAGAGAAGCTCCCGAAGTCCATGGGAGGAGAACAGCTCCTTCCTTCGGAGAAGCACAATGGGGATGGGCACAGGCCTGGGGACCCCATTCCTTGGCTGGGCAGCTTGGCTCAGTGCTAGGAACTTGAGGAATGGAGGGATTGCTCTGAGTAAGCCCACAGCAGAAGAGACCAGCGGTCACATGGGCCAAGGACGGCAGGTCCTTCCCACACGATGAGGCGTGTGGCAAGGGCTTTTAGCCTTGCTCTCATTCAGCACACAATCTCACTGCTGGCCTTGACCACTCAAAGCTGGCCCACTAGGCCCCAACACTCAGTCCACGGGTGACCAAGGCCCACCTCTAGTGTCTGAGGATGCAAACGCTCCACAGCCGCGGAGGCTGCCATCACCCAGGCATAGGGCCACAGCATGTACAGGACACAAACTGGATGCTGTCTAAGAAGGTTACAAACCTTAATAAAACAAGGTCCTATGCCAGAAGCAGCCATCCACACAAGGGTCAGGAAGAGCTGTGTGGGACGCCCACCTTATGCGCTGCAGGTGCTCTGGGCCACATTGAGCTGCTAAAGCCACCCTGCAAATGTTACAGCCAGTATGGTGGCCAGGGCCACTCTTCTGACTTCTCTAGGAACCCATTGTCCCCAGGCCTACAAAACTTACTCCCGTCTTTGAGCAGACAGATGTCCGACCATTGCTGAGACAGAAACCAGAGAATTCCAAGGTGACCAGGTACACCAGGATCACAGCCAACATCTGTAGCACACACCCTTGAATGCCCCATTCTAAACCATCATGGTGAGCCATTCATGGTGGAATAGCACACAGCACTGAAAATGACCCACACAGGCAGCGCCTCAGAGTAATTAGACTAGGCAATTAGTCAACAGAGAGAGAGAGAGAGAAAAGTATGTGCTGTGGCCACACCCTTCCATAATCCAGGAGCACAGAGGAGCCTGACTAGGTTGCTCCCTGGGCAGAGGAGCAACTTTCCTCTGGGGAATTTGGGTCTGAGTCCACAGAACAGAATATCTACACCAATACTTATGTGTAAGTTTGCAAACCAGCATGTTTTGATAGATTCTGAAAAGTGAGTTCTGCCTGAACTGCCTGGAAGGACAGACCGTTCTACATGACCACTGGGGCCTTGGGGTGACAGGGGGAGGTGACTCCTGAGGCTCTGGAACTTGCCCAGGGGACCCCTGGTGATAACCACAGCCTGCTTGCCCAGGACACAGCAAGGGTGTGGATCTCTCAGTTGGCACCTTGGGAATGCTCAGCTCACCCTGAACAACACTTCAGACTGACAGACTTACTGAAACACAAAATTGACTAGCAAGCACCCAGTCACGGGAGGGCTGGAACAAGGGCTCACACTTGCCCAGTGATTTTTTTTTTTTTTTTTTTGGTTGGCTGTAGGGCTTGAACTCTGGGCTTGGGCGCTGTCCCTGCTAGCACTCTACCAATTGAGCCATAGCACCACTTCTGGTTTTCTGGTGGTTAATTGGAGATAAGAGTCTCACGGACTATCCTTCCCAGGCTGGCTTTGAACTGAGCTCCTCAAATCTCAGCCTCCTGAGTAGCTAGGATTACAGGTGTGAGCCACCAGCACCAGGCCATTTGCCCAGTGATTTTACTGGGCAAATCTTTACTGACTCTGGTGCCATTGGGGGGAGGGGGGGAGGGGGGAAAGACTGACACTGGCCAGTGACAGGGGTGCTGCTATGGTTACATGGTCCCTGATACCCTCAGTTCATTTTTTCCAGTCAGATTTTCGGGACTATCACAATCCAGGCCACCTATCCAGTGACAGCTACACTCACATTAAAGACCAACCATGGCAGCTAGGTACATGCAATCCTAGTTATTCACGATGTGGAGATAGGAAGGATTGTGGTTTGAGGCTAGCTCGGACAAAGTGTTAGCGAGGACTCCAAATCAACAAACAAACTGGGCATAGTGGCACACACCTGAAAGCCCAGCTCAACTGAAACTGCAGCTCAACACCAGCTCTCTACCCGAAAAGAAAAAAAAAAATCACTAAAGCAAAAAGGGATGGATGTGTGTTGGTGTAGAGCACCTGACCAGCAAATGAAAACCTCTGGATTCAAATCCAAGTACTGCCTCCCCCGCCCCCACCTCCTGGACTGAGGACCGGCTTCTGCTAGAGAGGACACCGAACAGTTTGTAACAAAACGGTTAGCCCCTCTCTTCTTACACTAGTCAACTAGATTTCCAAACAAGAAAGTCATTCAGAATACAATGACAAAACCAGACATGACCGAGCTGGTTTGTATTTATAGTGTAGGGATTAGAACCCAGAAATTCTGGAACCACATTGCCCTACAGGTCATTTGAGATCGAACAAAAACTAATTTTGCCTAAGCCTACATCAGCACCTCTAACCCCAGGGCTCCAGAGCAGGTCTGAAGAGACAAACAGGAGGTCTTTGAACACAACGATGCTGGGCCTCACCTATGTAGGCTGGCACCTACCAAGTCCTTGAGAACAGGTCAGAGTTTTGTAACTGAGCGCAGCAGCTGTCCCAAACAGCAATGTCCTGACTGGGACCTGGCGACTGAGATAGGCAGCAGGTAAGTTTCCATTGTGCACGGAACACCAGCCCATGCAGTGCACAAATGGCTTCCTCTAAAGACCCTGCCTTGCGCACACAGTCTACTAAGATGGAAGGAGCCTCCGTGGTGCAGAGGCCAGTTCCACGGCCCAGACAGACCTAAGTGGCCCAGGTCTTACACTGAGGAATCAAGGTTAACCCATTCCAGGCCCGGACGCCCCTGGCCCCCCCGTGCGCAGGCGCAGCCAACAGGCGGTGGGCGACGCAGACAGGTCGACGGCCTCTACTCGCGCTGCCTTCAGCGGCAGTCACCGGCCACAGAATCAGCGTGACCCAGAGACACAGCTCTAAGACCAGGACCCGAAGTAAAAGGAGGCCAGAGGAGAAGGCCGTGAAAGGAGTGCTAAAGTGGATGGTGAGGGGAAAAAAAAAGGCCAGGCGGGAAGAAGCTGGTAGGAAAAGGAGGTGGCCAGGGGGAGGAGAGGCCAGCAGAAGAGGAGGTCTGGAAGGGTGAGGCTGGGGATCGGGGAGTCCAGGCAGGAAGAGGAGGGCTGGGGAGGAGGAGGCCGAGGAAGGAGGCCTGGGGGAAGCCCGGGAAAGCTCTAAAAGAGAGGCCAGGGAAGGGGAGGCCGAGGCTGAGGAGAACAGAGCCGGCTCCGGAAAGGAAAGGAAAGGAAAGGGCGCCTGGGCCTGGGCCC